TTATTCGGAAAATTACTGGCACTGTGTAATAAGTACTAACCTAAAATAGAGGTGGAAAATTGGGGGGGTTAGGCAGGTCAACCCTAACCGGCCTAGAAAAATAGGGTTAAACCCGGCAGTAACCCCGGGCGGGCTAGGTTGCACAATGGCAACCGCAACCCAGCGGGTTACTGTTGTCTCTTTTGCAAGGGACCCGGCAACCCACCGGGTTGGCTGTGTGCAAGCCGGGGTTGTAACGGCAACTCGCCAACCCGTCGGGTTGCAACAACAACCTGGCGGGTTGGCCGAAAAAAATAAAAAAAAATAAAAATTTTATTTTATTTTTCAAATTACCCCTTACCCTGAAATATAGCCGTTTTATAGCCGTTGGAAGGGTCTTTTTCGTCATTTTTCTTTCCCATTTTTTCCTATAATTGGCCCTAAACTCTCACATTTTTCTCAACACTCAAATTCTCATATTCTCTAATCTCTAATCTTCAATTATTCATTTATAGTTTTTGCAATTGCTAATTTTTAATTTTTATAGTTTTTGCAATTTTTAATCATATTTCCAATTTTCAAATTCCAATTTCCATACTCCAATTCTCTTTCTTTAATTTTCATTTCTTCTACATCAATTTTTTTTAACTACAATGGATAGATATTTCTCTCCCATCAATTAAAATGATGACAGAAACTACTATCCTAGTCTAGTCCCGCTGATTTTACTAACATAAATGCAGGAGGAGATTGAAATAGTCTCGCTTTCCCATTCTCAGAATCCGATACACCTCAAACTATGCCCCCGTTCCAACAGCTCCCGTGGGTCTAGAAGTCGTCCTTGTAATCGGTGCTCGTCAAACTTCATCTCAAGCTGAGGCGGGATCATCAACTATTGTCAGAAGTTAAGAAGACACACATAAGCGTTTAGGCGCATTTCGACAAGTTTTACGAGACAGAAAATGGCGTTCAAGTCAAGAAGCGAGATCAAATACTGTGGAAATATTTATAAAGCGATTCAGGTAATGGTACTAGTACTTTTAAAGGCATGCTAATAAACATATAATCAACATGGAAAGAGAGAAAGCAATCAAACTCAAATAACTAATGGGTACTAATTGACGTTATAGTTCTGATGTATATGGGAACAGTTAGCTTTATATATTGTGCAAAGATCAACTATACTATTAATATGGCTGAAGATAAATATTTTGAAGAGTTTGTTCAAAATTCATTTTTTCCAGGATTTAAAAGTTATTCTAAAACTTCAACTAGAAATGATTTAATAAAATTGTTTAAAAAAAATGAAATTAGAATTAAAAAATAAAATACATACTGTCATATTGTGTTGCTTAACTGCCAATAGTTGGAGTGATAGAGCTAAACAAGATATATTTGTGTGATAGTCATTATTTTAATAATGAATGTAAATTAAATAAATCTTTATTAGGATTTAGATTAATGGATGTTGATCATACTGGTGAACAAATTTATAATAAAATTGTTGAAGTTTTAGAAGATATGATGTAGTTAAAGTGATAAGTTTAACTTTAGATAATGCAAGTTCTAATAGTAAAGCTATAGATTATTTTCAAAGTAATTATCCTTTATATAACATTTGAAGTTTTTCACCAACGTTGTGCATGCCATGTTATTAATTTAATTGTGAAAAGTGGTATGAAAACAATTAAAGAAAATATTAATAGAATTGAGATTGTTTAGTGGATTACTAGTAGTAATAAAAAAAAGAAATGCTGAATTTCAAAACGCTTGTATAAAATCAAATATGTCTCCTAGAACTTTTGTTAGACATGCATGTTAGATGGAATAGTATTTATTAATGCTTGATTCATGTTTACCTTATGCTAATATAATTAGTTATTTTATAGCAAATAATAGAGGTCTCATTATTTGGTAGAAAATGATTGGCAAATATCTAAAGTATTCATTCTTTTCTTAAAACTTTTACCAATCCACTTTAAAACTTCTGGTATATATTATCCTACTACTCCATTGGTAATACATATAATTATAAAAATTTCTGAGTTATTTATAAAAACAAGACAATGTAATTTTAAATGCACCAATAAAGGCAATGAAATTTTTTTTTTTTTTAATATTGGGAATCCATTCCTTTTTTATTTAGGTGCTATATTTGATCCTAGAATTAAATTAGCAGGTTTAGAAAAGGTTTTGACAATTTATGTGAAAATTTACAAACCGAAGTATATGCCAATCAAAAGGAGAGGTAAAAATAACACTTTTCGAAGTATATTTCCAGTATGAAAACAGGTATGGGAACCCGCAAAGAGGCGAAATATCCAGGAAGCTGCATCAGAAGAAACAAATGAAAACTTCTACTCTTGGGGTGCACTGAATAGGCCGAAGAGGACCCGAATCTGAAGCACAACCTTTTCAGAGGCTACACCACCACCAACAACAACAACAATGTACTGTCTTCCATGCAGTCGCAGAGTAATGGCTTCAACAATATTTGACAACCCCTGAAATGTTACCAGTAGATCCACAACAGAGAGCCAATATTGATCTCTTAGACTATGGGAGCCAGAAATGTATTTTTCTGATATTATTAAGACTTGTCTTGGATGTTTTCGCTGTCCTGTCTCAACCGTCTCATCCGAACAAACATTTAGTGCAAGTGGAAGAATTTTAAATGAAAGGAGGACTAAACTTAACCAAAAATGATTGAAATCTCACATGTCTTCGAGATTGGAAACGGTCGCGCCATCAAGGTCAATACAAGGTTGTTGACAATACTTTAATAGAATCATTTCATTTGTATAAAGATGATATGGATGAGGGAGGTCCTAGTGAACCCCAAAATTAGTTGTTTTGTAAATTGTAACTTGTAAATTAATTGTAATATTGCACTCTTTTTTCCTTACCAAGTTTTTGTTCTATTGGATTTTTCTTGGTGAGATTTTTAACAAGGCAATAATTATTGTAATTTCTTATTTTATTTTTTAATAAATGAATAAATTTAATTATTCTTATATTACAATTTTAATGTATTAAAATTGAATTAATATTTGGAATGTTTTCCAAAAAAAAAATTAATTTAATTTAATTATTGATATTTGAAAAGAAATTAGCAATTAACTAAAAACAATTACATTTATAAATTGTTAATTATTCATTTGAAAAGTTAATTAAACATTTAAACTTAAATAAAATAAAACAAAACAAAATTAAAAAAAAAAAGTCAAAAAGCAGGTTAACCCGGCCCAACCCGGCAGGTTAGGGTTGGCGGTCCGGGTTGGGCCAGCCAATTCTCTAATGTTGGCGGGCCTAACCCGGCCCGCCAATGTCGCCGGACGGGTCAGGACCGACCCGCCATTTGCAGCAACCCGTCGCGGGCTGGGTCGGGTCGAACCGGGTGGGTTGCTTTTCCACCTTTACCTAGAAACATTACCAAATAAAAAATAAAAATAGTTAGAATTACTCACAACGCATATACAGTAAAAACTCTCTATAGTCATAATGATAAGATTAATTAATTTTATTACTATGAGGAGGTTATAATTTAATAGAGGTGTAGCTATAAAAATTTCTTATTTTATAATTAATGTTTTAGTAGTATAGTATTAGGATTTCAATTCATATTTTAATAGTATTATGTTTTCAATTCAGCGTTTCAATTGCCTACTTTTTAAACGAATAGAAGATCGTATCTTAAAACCAGTAAAGATAAGTGTCCTTGATGAAATTGTAAATACAGTTGCTGCATGGTTAAACTAATATGAAGCCATAAACAATTGCTAATTGTTTTAAGCATTACAAAATTAGGATCCCTGATGTCGATGAATTGCAAGTCATAAATAAAGTGGATGAGAATAATGAAAGAGTTATTGTAGAATTGAGTGATCAGATTTGACAACTTCACTACACTAATCGAATGAATATTAATATTTTCCTTAATAATTCAAATGAGCAACAAGTCATGTATACATTAATTGAAGAAAAAATCATTGTTACAATTACACACGAAAAGAAAGGAAATAATCATGAAGATGATAGTATGGAAATACAAAAAGTTTCGTGCAAAAAAGCTCCAAACATGCTTGAGAAGCTATAAATATTTTGGCTTCAACAAGAACATGTTCATGCTAGCGAGGAATGTACTCGCAAGTTAAAAGATATGATAATAACTCAAAGGAAAATGATAGAGTTACTGAAAATTGCACACCAAATCTATACACCGAATGACGTGACAAAATCATGACCGTCGGTTAATATTAATTTATAATTAATCGACGGTCAGGATTGTGCCACATCATTTAGTGCATGAATTCGGTGCACTATTTTCGGTAACTGTAGTAATACTTTAACTCTAAAGCATAAATCATTCTCCTAAATAATTTTAAATAAATATTTTATTTCATCTTAAACCTTTAATGTAACAAACACTTTTTTTTTTTCAATATACATATAATCATTACTATATGGAGATAACATTCCTTAAGACAAGAATTAGAAAAATTATAACTTATTACAATGTGGAGTTTATTTTTATTTATAACTATCTTAAGTTGAGAATAAAATTTTTGATGACTATGTAGAATTTATTCTTATATAGAGTATCACTATATAGAGGTTTTACTGCAACAATATTTAAATAAATATAATATATAAAATATTTCAATATTTATTACATGGTTATTTAGATCATAAAAATAATAATAGTTAAAATTACTCAGGATTGATATAACAATATTTAAATAAAAATAATACATAAAATATTTCAATATATATTACATGGTTATTTACTATTTAGCTCATCAAAAAAATAATAGTTAGAATTACTCAGGATTGATATAACAATATTTAAATAAATATAATATATAAAATATTTCTATATTCATTACATGGTTATTTAGCTCATAAAAATAATAATAGTTAGAATTACTCAGGATTGATATAACAATAATTAAATAAATATAGTATATAAAATATTTCTATATATATTGCATGGTTATTTAGCTCATCCCCCGTTAGCGGCTTAGCCTCTCATATATCTAAAAGAAAAGAATAGGATTTAATCCTGAGAATAAATCCACAAATAATTCTTGTTTCAATTTTCTCGCTTCATTTTCTTCTTCCTCTTCTCTCAACGCTCCACCGTCTCCCCCACGACCTTCTCTTCAGGTTCCCGGTAACTCTCCTTTACAATAGCTTTACATTCTTTGAATTTGTTTGCTGGGTTTTAGTTTAAATTTGGTTCTATACTTCTGTAGATTAATATAATCCTGATTCATTGCTTGTAACTATTCAATTTACTGATTCATGAATTATATTATTTTTCTGTTTTAATTTAATTTTTTTTCTGGGTATGAGTGACATATGTGATATCTAGAGCAAGGACTTTTTTTTCCTTTTTGTGGGAGCTGAAATAATTAAGGCTTTGTTGTTTTTGAATGCTGGTTGTGCTAATTGAGAGCCAAAAGTATAGTGTGTGTTGGACTTGAGAGTGCTTTGGGAACTGCCAGAAGTGCTTTTAAATGTTCAAAAGTGGCTTTGGGTTAATTTTGTGGAGCTGGGTTTGAAATTGATTTTGAAGGAAGTGTTTTTCTAGTAGAAGTGCTTTTTATGAAAAACACTTAAGTGTATCTTTCTGAAAATGTTTATTAAGTGTTTTTTTAAAACTCACTTTACTCTTTAAGAGCTGTTTGTTGCCACGAGATAAATAGAGAATTATCTAGTGCTTCTCCCAAAAGCACTTGTTTAAAAGCATTTTTATTGGTTTCAGCTAGACACTACAATAGAGCTTACAGCTTTTAGCTTTTAACTATTTGACAACATTTTCCAGAGGCACGTCCCAAACTCCCTATGATTATCTGGCAAAATTGTGGCTCTTTGTAGTTGATGTTTCACTACTTTCGTATTTTGAATTGCAGTTAAAAAAAGATTTCACTCGGTTAATTTCTGAAATTTGAGTTGTGTTGCAAAAGGGCAAAAGCATGCTGTTGATGTTAGGGGAGATTATACTGCCGTCCTGAATGGTTTCTTGAATAGAATGTTGGGTTCTGTTTGTTTCCTGAAGTATGTGCTCAAGCTAAACCTCTATATACAATACAGTGATACACGTTAACAGAGTGGTCTTCAACTTGTTTCTTGATAGTTTCATACACATATCAGTAGTAACATTCTGAGTTTAACTTTGAATTTATGCAGGTTTCCTTCACCTCAACATGATGGAAAAGGTATACATTATTTGATACAAGGACTGTTAGTGTTTGAGATAGGGGTCAATTTGGAATGATGTAAAATGAAGCAAATGGAGGTGCCAAAACTTAGGAAATGAAATAAGTAGGGTTATATGTTTTAATTGACACCATATAATCTTTTATCTGAGGCATAAGGTGGCTCTGCCACCGGGAACTTATGCTCAAATTTACATATTTGCTTTATTTGCTGGGAAAGGCATAGCCTAAAATCCACTCTCTCATCGCAGATATTATGATTACAGTGCTAGCACCGATCTTTCTTGTTAGGTCTTTAGGGTGAGATTAACTACTTAGATTCTAGTTTATCAAGGGGAATAAGTTCTTCTAGCAGGCATGTTACAGTGATTTTATCTTCTAGGATTTGAAACATTTTTTAGTTGGGCGTTGTCTGGCAAAAAAAAATTCAACCATTGTAAGAATAGGTTATAAACTTGACTTCGATGAATCTTTGAATGCCTTCTACTTGTGAGTTATGGGACAATGTTGGATTGATTTGATTACTTTCGTTTACAAATGATTATCTGGACTCTTTGTTCAGAGAACTTAGATTCTTGTTCTCTCTGATGTAACTCTTGGCAATTATGTCACTTCTTGATATTGATTTTTATCACGGTTTAGAATTTGACATTGTAGCATAATTGTTGCAGTGAGAAGTTCCATTTTAATTGACACATTTCTGTATCTACTATGGATGCTACGGAAAGAGAAACCAAGTCTAGGAATTCAGACTGTATATCTGTAGAGAACAACAAATCATCGGTTCAAATAAAGTTATTGTTCTTTGCTAGAGCTCGAGATTTAACCGGTTTAAGTGATTTGCCACTGGAAGTATCATATGGTAGTACAACTGAAGATTGCTTGAACAAGTTTGTTGCAAAGTTTCCAAGCTTGGAAGAGATCTGTGGCTGCATGGTTCTTGCTTTAAACGAGGAATATGCAAATGACTCGATTATTGTTAAAGACAAAGCTGAATTGGCCATTATCCCTCCTATAAGTGGTGGCTAATTATTTGCATTCATAAGGAAAATAGAAGAATACAAAGTTGATGACTATATATATTTATTTTATATTCAAAAGAAAAACAAATGACCTTAAATAATTTTATTCTCTCGTCAGTGGAGTTATTTTTTACACACTTCATATTCGGAATTTTTTTTTCTTTTGTGGCTTGATTTAATACAATTAAGACGTGGTATGCTACAAGTAAATATCTGCACAAAAATGAGTGCTAATTTTAGGATGAGTGATCAGTTTAATTCAATTCACATTAGATGCTAGAGGAAATGTATCTCAAGTACACCAGTAAGTAGATATTAGAGGATTAATCATCTATATATCTATATAATCCTGAAGCCCATCCTCTCTATTGATCACCATTTGGACTCCACGTAGGATTCCAGCAGGATCCACGTAGGATTCCAAAAAATCTCTATAATTTTTACAAGTGGTTTATGTTATATGTTATTGGTTTAGTTTGATTCATTATTTTTGTTGAATTGAATGTCAAGGGTTACAGATGTGGATGTCCCTTCGCATTCACATCAGCCCAGATGTTTCACATTCACATTAAATGATTCACTGTTTTTGTTGAATTGAATGTACAGATGTGGGTGTCCCTTCACATTCATTGTTTTTGTTGTGTGTACAATGGTCATCGAAAAATTCCATCAACACAACCTCTCATCTCCAGATCACACCCACCACCTGCTTGAAGAAACGCCTCACTCAGCATCCCCGGCCCAACACAGAACACATTGCGCGTGTTGGGGATGATTTCCGATGCCACCACACCAAAACCCCTCTATCGACCTCTTTTCTGTTTTTTTGTTTGATTTTTTGATTTTGTTTTTGGTTCTTGTATTTTGTTTTCTGTTATTATTGGTATTATCATTGAAATGTTGCAATTTTAGGTGGTGGTGGTTGGGTGGCTGCTATGGCAGATTTGAGGTGTGGTGGTTGTGATATTTGGAATGGAGTGATAATTGAGAAATAGGTTTGTTTCATCTGCTCAGTCTATATTGAGACAAACCAATTTTAAAGGTGCGAAGTTACTAGGTGCTAGCTTCTTTGATGCAGATTTAACAGGTAAATTCTTTTCTCCAGGAATAAAGTAATGAGGTTTTATTTTATATTTGATCTTTGCATTATTCCTCATCATCAAGCAATAAATTAAATTCACATGAGTATGGCTTTTTCCAAGCGGCATTGATTCCACGTTACAAATGTGTTTGAGCTTGAACTATCTAGCTTAGAACAAACAAATCTATATAATGTTTCCGATTGAGGGCTATAGCATATATTAATCATCAGCAGGCGCTTTTTTGGGGGGCTAATTTAGTAGTGTCTATTATCTATTGCTTTTCCTTTTTCGTTTATCAGGGGCTGATCTTTCGGATGCTGATCTAAGAGGGGCAGACTTTTCATTGGCAAATGTGACAAAGGTGAATTTATCTATTTATGCTTTTCAGATTATTCTCAATAATATCATATAAAATTTCTGTGCTACAGCTATGTTTGGGCAGCTGCTGGTAAGCAGCCAGATCTTGAAACGCATGTAGGAGTCTGTTTGGGCAGCGCTTATATCTGATGAACTCTATGAGGTTATTTTAAATATTTTTAATTTAGTGTATATATATATTTTCTTTTTTTTCTTTTTAATTAATTCTGTTTCTTTTAGACAAAAAATGTAATGTTCTTTCTAGCTAGTATACTTGGGAGGTATAAAATGAAAACTCACTAAATATATCATATAAAAACATATATGGATATATGTATAAGGTAGTGGGCCCAAAAATAGCATTACTTTTATATACAAATCTCTACATCAAGTATCATAGTCACAAAAATAAACTCAAAAATATAGTCCGACAGTGTTGCCTTTCTCCTCCGCTACTTGATGTCCCATCCGACTGCATCTCATCTACTACCTGCAAAAGCAGTGAAATCAACGGGGTGAACACTAATTGCTCAGTAAGTAAACTCACAACACTTCTATTATTTCTCCGTTACTCAGATTCTGAATTTTCTTTCCTTAGACTAAGCTTCTCTATTCTTCTCTGTTTCCTACGATTCTAGTTTCTCACTTACCGATATGTAAACACCAATAGGAAAACTAACTCGGGATAGTAGAAATGACATGATGCATATGCATAGATGCATAAACTTTTTCTATGCAATGCAATGCATTTTCTTTTCTGTTTTTCTTCCTTTTATTGCGTTTCTCTTCTTTCTTTTCTGTTTTTCTTGCTTTTCTATTCTTTCTTGCTTTTTGTATTCTTTTATTTCTTTCTTTTTTATTATTTTCTTTCTTTTATTTTCTTTATTTTCTTTCTTTTATTTATTTATTTATTTTCTATTCTTTCTTTGCCGATCTGACTCGGTTGAGGCATGGATTCGGAACCCTGGCCGTGTGAGTGTATTCTCAAATTCTTTCTTGGGTACAGTCCTCATCCACATGCACTTCTTATGGACTGTACAAATTATTCTTTCTTATTTTAAGGCTGTTCACTAAAGGCGGCGTGCATGCGGTGTTATTCTTCTCTGTCACTCACGAGCTCCCCATTGCAATAACCTTCTCTTCTCTTCTCTTTTTATATTTCTTTAAGTAAAATTTCAGATCTGAATTGTTCTTTAATTATATTTCTTAAAACAATAATTCTACATTTAATTGCTTATCTTTCTTTCTCTTTATTCTTTAATGTTCTCATACATGTATATGTGCATGTAAATATACTCATTCTTTGTTATTCTTTCTAAATGCAAATGTTCAAATGTAAGAATGCATTATGACATATAAAGATATCATTATGGAACTAGTATTCTCTTCCAACAACATTTCCATAACAAAGTAATAATCCAACATACTCATGTATATGCACTTTCTTTGATATTTCATCAAACACCTTACATGCACATATAAACCTTAAATTGGTTACACTTCCACATATCTCTCTCAAGTCACCAAAATTGGAGCAAACAACTTCCTAAAGCCAACAATCAACCTAGCCGAATTTCATCCTCCACCTTTCTACATCCATTCTTTCATTTTTTCATCCAAAATCCTATCAACTCAACACATACAAATACATCAATTCTCATCACATACCAATAAATGAATTCTCATCACATACTAATAAATTACTTCTCATTACATACTAATAAATTACTTCTTATCACATATAATAAATTACTTCTCATGGCCATGAAATTCGTATATCAAACAACCTCAATTTTCAATCTATAATTCTTATCATCTCAACACGCATACAACATATAAAAAGTTTTCTACACAAGCATTTATCCAATCAAAGCTAAAGTTGGATTTACTTATTTTGAATTTGAGCAACTCTAACACTATAATTTCTCTTTGATATAATTTCCCTTCCTCTTAAACCTAAGCATATAAAACCAGAAGAATTCAAAACTTTAAAATTTAATCTCACATCTTGATGCAAGAATCTTACCTTTGAATGCTTAGGATTGAAAATCTATCATAATCTAGCCAAATCCCATGAATTTCCTTGGAAATTTAGTGAAGAAATTTGAGAGAATTTAGGGTGAAGGTGGCGTGAACTATGGGTGGAGTGGCTAGGGTTTCTCTTCTTGAACTCTTATTACATAATAACATATATAGTTTCCCATTTTACCCTTACACTTTCTAAAAATTTCATCTATGACCCTTAATCAATTACAAAAATGTCCTCATTTTTATTAACTTCTCCATGTTATTCTACTTATTTTCACTCCCTACTTTTTCAATTAATTATGAGTGAAAAGACCATTTTACCCCTAATAACCTTTTAAATAATTTCCTTAACACTTGTCCAAGATAACTTTAATAAAATTCAACTAAGGGTATTAACGCATAAATAAAATTACGTACCTTGATGTAGGCGTTACAATTGTCCCTCCCTTATAAGAATTTCGTCCCCGAAATTCAAACGAACAATTCGGGATAGTGGTTTCGCATATCTTTTTCTACTTCCCATGTAGTTTTTTCTACTTTATGATTCCTCCATAGGATTTTTACTAATGGAATACCCTTGTTTCGGAGCTCCTTAACATTTCTGTCCAATATTTGCACTGGGCGCTCCTCATAAATAAGATTATCTTTTAAGTCAATTTCTTCTACTTTTAATACATGGGAGGGATCACTAACATACTTTCGAAGCATGGAGACATGGAACACATTATGCACTGTGTCCGTATTTGGTGGTAGCACCAATTTGTAAGCTACCTTTCCCACTCGTTGTAACACTTCAAAGGGACCAATGTATCTCGGAGCTAGCTTCCCTTTTCCGCCAAAACACATTACTCGCTTATAGGGGGGAATTTTAATAAACGCCTTGTCACCCACTTCAAATTCTACATCTTTTCTCTTTAAATCCGCATAACTCTTTTGTTTGTCTTGGGCTTGTTTCATTCTATTTCTGATCAACTTGATATCTTTTATCATTTTTTGAGTTATCTTGGGCCTAAGAGTTGTTTCCAAAGTGTCTTTCTCTCCTACTTCATTCCAATGTAGTGGGGACCTACATCGTCTACCATATAGGGCTTCATAAGGAGCCATCTTAATGGTGGACTGATAACTGTTATTATAAGCAAATTCCACCAATGGTAACATCTCATGCCAGGTCATTTTATAATCCATACAGCATGCTCTCAACATATCCTCAAGTACTTGATTTGTTTTCTCAGTTTGATCATCTGTCTGAGGGTGGTATGTTGTACTAAATGCTAACCTGGTACCCAAGTTTCTCTGTAGACTAGTCCAAAAAGCTAAAACAAATCTGGAATCTCTATCTGATACTATGGTCTTGGGCATCCCATGGAGTTTAACTATCTTCCTGATATAAATCTAGGCCACCTGATCTGCTGTGGTACTATCCTTAGTTTAATCTAGTTAGAGTTATCTTGAACAAGTGTGAAGGAAATTCTTTAAAACGTTGTTAGGGGTAAAATTATCATTTCACTCATAATTAGATGAAAGAGTAGGGAGTGAAAAGAAATAGAATAACATGGAGGAGATAATAGAAATGAAGGCATTCTTATAATTGACTAAGGGACATAGATGGAATCTTTAGAAAGTGCAAAGGTAAAATCAGAAACTATATATATTATTATATGATATTAAGAGTTCAAGAAGAGAAACCCTAGCCACTCTTCCCCTCCATTCACGCCACTCTCTATCCAAATTCTCTCAATTTTCTTCACTAAATTTCTAAGGAAATTTATAGGATTTTGGCTAAATTTGGTAAATTTTCAATCCTAAACATCCAAAGGTGAGATTTTTGCATCAACAAGTGAGATTAAATTTTAAAGTTTTGAATTCTTATGGTTGTATATGCTTAGGGTTTAAGAGGAAAGTGAATTCTATCAAAGAGAGATTATAGTGTTAGAGTTGCTTAAATTCAAGGTAAGTAAACCAACTTTAGCTTTGATTGGATAAATATTTGTGTAGAGTAATTTATTTTATGTTGTATGTATGTTTGGATGATGAGAATTATGGATTGAAATTGAGGTTGTTTGATATGTAAATCTCATGGCCATGAGAAGTGAATTATTAATATGTGATGAGAAATGATTCATTAGTATGTGATGAAAATTGGTTCATTAGCATGTGATGAGAATTGTTTCATTAGCATGTGATGAGAGTTGCTTTATTAGTATGTGATGAGAATTGATTCATTAGTATGTGATGAAAATTAATTTATTAGTATGTGATGAGAATTGATTCATTAGTATGTGTTGAGAAGTGATGTAATTATATGTGGAGTTGATGGGATTTTGGATGAAATATGAAAGAATGGATGTGGAATGTTGGAGGATGAATTTAGTATGTGATGAAAATTAATTTATTAGTATGTGATGAGAATTGATTTATTAATATGTGTTGAGAAGTGATGTAATTATATGTGGAGTTGATGGGATTTTGGATGAAATATGAAAGAATGGATGTGGAATGTTGGAGGATGAATTTCGGCTAGGGTGGTTGTTGGCCTTACGGAGTTTTTACTCCAATTATGGTGGCTTGAGATAGATGGAGAAGTGTAGACAACTTAGAGTTTTGCTTGTGCATGTAAAGTGTTATATATATATATATATATGAGAATGTTAGATTATTACATTGTTATAGAAATATGTTGTTGGTAGAGAATATTAGTTCCATAATGATATCTTTATATGCCATAATGCATTCTTACATTTGAGCATTTGCATTTAGAAAGAATAACAAAGAATGAGCATAATTACATGCATATAGATACATGTATGGGAATATTAAAGAATAAAGAGAAAGAAAAGAAATTAAATGTAGAATTATTGTTTTAAGAAATATAATTAAAGAATAATTCAAATATGAAATTTTATTTAGAGAAATGTAAAAAGATAAGAGAAGAGAAGGTTGTTGCGATGGGGAACCCGTGAGTGACTAAGAAGAAGAATAGCTGACATGCACGCCGCCTTTAGTGAGCGGCCTTAGAATAAGAAAGAAGAATTTGTACAGTTCATTAGAAGTGCATGTGGATGAAGACTGTACCCAACATAACATACCCAACATAACATACCTACATGCACGCCGCCTTTAGTGAGCAGCCTCAGAATAAGAGAGAAGAATTTGTACAGTCCGTTAGAAGTGCATTTAGATGAGGACTGTATCCACTCACATGGCTAGGGTTTCGAATCCATGCCTCAACCGAGTCCGATCGACAAAGAAAGAATAGAAAAAAAAAAAGAGGAAAGAATAGAAAAGAAAAGAAAGAAAGAAAGAATAAAAAAGACAAGAAAGAAAGAAAACAGAAAAAGAAAGAAACGCAGAAAAGAAAGAAAAACAGAATAAGAAAACAGAAAAACAGAAAAGAAAATGCATTGCATAGAAAAAGTTTATGCATCTGTGCATATGCATCATGCCATTTCTACTATCCCAAGTTAGTTTCCCTATTTGTGCTTACTTATTGGTAAGTGAGAAACTAGAATCGTAGAAAACAGAGAATAATAGATAAGTTTGGTGTAAGGAAAGAAAATCTAGGATCTGAGTAACGGAGAAAGAATAGAAGTATTGTGGGTTTACTTACTGAGCAATTAGTACTCACTCCGTTGATTTTCATTGTTTTGCCAAGTAGTAGATGAGATGCGGTCGAATGAGACGTCAAGTAGCGGAGGAGAAAGGCAACACTATCGGACTATATTTTTGAGTTTATGTTTGTGACTTTATTATTTGATGTAGAGATTTGTGTATAAAGAAAATTAGTTATGGGCATTATGAGTTTGTAGTGATGCCTTTTAGGTTAACCAATGCTCCAACAGTCTTTATGGATTTAATGAACCGAGTGTTCCATGATTGTCTTGATCAATCTATAGTTGTTTATTGATGACATCCTGGTTTATTCTAAGACAAGAGAGGAGCATGAAGAACATTTGAGATTTGTGCTACAACGATTAAGAGATAAAAAGTTGTTTGCCAAATTTTCTAAGTGTGAGTTTTGGCTGGATCAAGTTATTTTCATGGGTCATACTGTCTTAAAGGAAGGTATATCAGTGGATCCTAGTAAGGTGAAAGTAATTTTCGAGTGACAAAAGCTGAATACAGTAAAGGAGGTTAGAAGTTTCTTGGGGCTAGCAAGCTATTACAGGCGGTTTGTAGCAGGATTTGCCCAGTTGGCTAAGCCACTTACAACTCTGACAAAATAGAGAACGCCTTTCATATGGTCGGATCATGTGAAAAAAGTTTTTAGGAGTTGAAAAGAAGATTAACCACAACTCCTATCCTAGTGTTACCACAAGAGGATGTAGACTATGATATTTATACAGATGCCTCACTTCAGAGACTTGGTGCAGTGCTGATGCAGTTGGGTAGAGTAATAGCTTATGCTTCTCGACAGTTGAAAGAATATGAGACGAGATACCATACGCATGATTTAGAGTTGACCGTTGTAGTTTTTGCACTAAAAATATGGAGGCATTACTTATATAGAGCAAAGAGCAATATTTATACTGATCATAAGAGTTTGAAGTGCTTTTTTACCCAGAGGGAGCTGAATATGAGACAAAGGAGATGGTTAGAGTTGGTAAAAGATTGTGATTGTGAGATTAAGTATTAGCCTGGAAAAAAGCTAATGTAGTAGCTAATGCCTTGAGTAGAAAAACCTATTTGTCTCGACTCACAATGCAGAAAGAATTATTGGAAGAATTGTGCAGGGAACAGATTGAGGTGATACTAGGAAGGATTGCCAGGTTGGAAATTCAACCTACTTTACTGAAAGAGATTAAAGAAAAGCAAGTTGTCGACAAGTGGTGTTAGAAAATAAGTCGACAAGTGTTATAAGGCGAGATATCAGAATTTCACCTTTTAGATGGTGTCCTTCGTTTCCGGAATCACATATGCATTCCTCAAGATGTTGAGTTGAAGAAGAAGATTCTTGAGGAGGCTTATAACACACCATATATTGCTCATCTTGAAGAAACCAAAATGTATCAAGATTTAAAGAAGAGTTATTGGTGGCCAGGTATGAAGAAAGATATCGAAGATTATGTAGCTAAATGCTTGATCTGTCAACAGGTTAAGACAGAACACCAGAGGCCATCGGGATTGCTTCAGCCATTCAGCATTCCTGAATGGAAATGGGAAGATATATCAATGGATTTCATTACAGGCCTTCCAAGAGTTCAAAAAGGGTATAATGCGATATAGGTAATAGTAGACAGATTAACCAAATCAGCGCATTTTCTTCCGATAAAGGATAGTGCCACAGCAGATCAGTTGGCCCAGATTTATATCAGAGAGATAGTTAGACTCCATGGGGTGCCCAAGACAGTATGAGATAGAGATTCTAGATTTGTTTCAACTTTCTGGGCCAGTTTATAGAGAAATTTGGATACCAGGTTAGCATTTAGTACAACATACCACCCTAAGACGGATGGATTTTTTATTTCTAGATTCTACAATTTTTCAGGACCTCAAAGTACAGTGCAATGAGAACTATGTGAATATAGATCCAACCAATACAAAATGTGTAGCTGCTTATGAACTTTACAAAAAAGAAAGATGATTAGTAGTCCAGTTCCTATTTAAAAACAAATAATTTTCTTCAAGCTGCCCAGAAATGACTGATTAATTTTATTTTTAAAATTCCAGTGCGTTAAAGACTTATTTCGCAATGACATTTTGAGCCGAAATGTACTTTTGCATCGTCAGATGTGGACCAAAGAGAAATGCCTCGCAGAGCTCTACAAGAAAATCCTGTGAATTTTATCCTTTCACGACTGAAAATACCTGATTTATGGTGCCGGGTTGACTTTTTTTCATGATACTCGGGTGAAATGAGGACGTTTACTCCTACCCAAGTTCTGGGAATGTTGTTTTCAGATTTGAAAAGCATAGCTGAGAAGAATCTCAATGCAGCTGTAGTGGACTGCAGCATTGGAATTCCTGTTTATTTCACTGACCTTCAAAGAAGAGCTGTGTTGGATTCAGTCACAATTGCAGGTCTGCATCCTCTTTGCTTGATTCATGAAACTACAGCCACAGCATTGGCTTCTGGTATTTATAAGATTGATTTGCCGGAAAATGACCAATTGAATGTTGCCTTTGTGGATGTGGGGAATTCAAGTTTCCAAGTATGCATAGCCGGGTTCAAGAAGGGTCAACTTAAGATATTGGGTCACTCATTTGATCGGTCTTTAGGTGGTAGAGATTTTGATGAAGCTATATTCCAGCATTTTGCAGCCAAGTTCAAGGATGAATACAAGATTGATGTTTTCCAGAATGCCAGGGCCTGCCTTCGTCTTAGGGCTGCCTGTGAGAAATTGAAGAAAGTTCTTAGTGCCAATCCTGAGGCTCCTTTGAATATTGAATGCTTGATGGATGAGAAGGATGTGAGGGGTTTCATTAAGAGGGATGAATTTGAACAAATTAGTGCTCCAATTTTGGAACGTGTGAAGAGGCCTTTGGAGAAAGCTCTGGCTGAAACTGGGCTTTCAGTCGAGAATATTCACATGGTTGAGGTTGTTGGTTCAGGCTCTCGTGTTCCTTCCATAATGAAGATCTTAACAGAATTCTTTGGGAAGGAGCCTAGGCGTACAATGAATGCAAGTGAGTGTGTTGCTAGGGGCTGTGCTTTAGAATGTGCAATCCTCAGTCCTACATTCAAAGTGAGAGAGTTTCAGGTAAAAATCTTTCCTTTTCTGACTGGATTTTCATGTGTTTTGTTTTTTTTGGGTGCCTTGAATCTTGGTTTAAAATGAATTAAGAGGCGGAATTTGGTTTTTACTAATGGTTATACGTCTTGGATGTCAAGATTAAAGCTGTATTTTTTCTTAATTTTGTATTATGGTGTTTTCTTTTTTTCATGATATTTATTGAGAGATATTCAAGGTCTGGAAAGGTACCATTATTTTTCTTCGCTTTTTAGTATCTTCCTTTTTTTTTTTTTTTTTTTTTTTTTCAAAGAAGGTCTGGGTATGCTGCTGTTTTTAAGGCAGTTGTTAGTTTAAATGTCGGGTTTATGCTTCTTTTTTTCTTGGTTTATTTTCCTGAAGCAGTCTTTGTGGTTTTGGATGGTTGAAGTTTAGTGTTTCAGTTCATATGATATTAATTTTCTCCTTCTGTACACTTGGTGATACTATGTCATAGTAACTCAATGTTTAATCATTGAGTAAAAGGTTGTTCGTCAGGAATAGAAAATTCAATGACAAAACCTTTTACTAGAACGAGTAAAAGGCAGTTTTTGTCCTTGAATTCTCTGTTCCTGATGAGCGGCCTTTTACTCTCTTTTTGGCCAAGGCAATTCTGATCCATGTTGTGCTTTAATTGCGATTAAGTAGGTATAATGTTTCATGTTATGATTTAATCAGATTATGCATAAAAATGATCAATAATGGTTCTTCATTTGTGGTTGTTTCTAAAGGTAAATGAGAGCTTCCCATTTTCAATTTGCATTGTCATGGAAAGGCTCTGCCCCAGAAGCTCAAAATGAAGCAGCAGATAATCAGCAAAGCACTATTGTTTTCCCAAAGGGAAATCCAAAACCCAGTGTTAAGGCATTGACTTTCTACAAGGCAGGTACATTCACTGTAGATGTTCAATATGTTGATGTGAGCGAGTTGCAAGCACCCCACTATGCTTTAGAACAATTCAGGTGGATGCTATTTGTAGTTGAATATTGATCATTTGCTATCAGAATAATGGGAGTAGGCATTAGAATTGTTTGTAGAGATTTATTTGCTGTTTTGTGTGGAGGACTTGGTTGGAAACTATCAGAAGATTGTGCGGGAAGAAAAACTTATTTCCATTCTAAAGATTGTAATTCTCAAGATGCTCTACCATGATTATCAACAGCAGTTCTTTTGCCATTATCAAATTCTTGATCTTCTAGAGTTTACAACTTCTAGGTGCTTGCTTTTTGTATATAACTGGTGTACATAAATCATAACAATTGTTTAAAATCTAATACTAAGATGGTGAGAAACTTTTCGTGGACCAATGTTTTCATGGATATGTTCAATAATGGTTATACTGCACCTGGAAAGTATATTGTTAAAGGAATTTCACCGTGTGGAGATTATGGAATCTACTGCATGTAGTGGAAATCATTGATTGATGAAAGGCTCAAAGAGTCTATGATAAGAACCCATAAAAAAACTATCTCCAATCAAATTAACAAATCAGAAATCACATGCGATGAACTCCAACAAACTTGAGTCAACTAAAACTCGATCGCATTGAATTGCTTTCATATGGGTAAGGAAAGTTATTGGAAAATTATATTTATTTGTTTATAGTAAGGATCAACCATTGTTTTAAAACCCCGATCGGAGGGCAATCCGTTTTGCTGTTCAGGTCACGGGTCAATCGGTTGGACTGATGACATCAGCGATAATTTTATTTTAAAAAAATTACATATTATCCCTCAAATTTTAATATATTACATAAATTCTCCTAAAAAAGTCAAATCAGTCCCTAAAATATCTATTTATTTCAAAAATACCCCCAAAAAATTGCCAATTAATTCCTAAACTTTTGACATATCTCTAAAACACCTTTATAAAATTACAAATTAACCCTTATAATTTTAAAATGTTACAAAAACCCTCCTAAGACCTGAACTGGACTTGAGAAGCTGCTGGGTCCTAGTCTGACCGGTTTGACCAGCCGGTCCAGTCCGGTTTTTAAAACAGAGGTATCAAGTAGCAACTACTCATTTAATTCAATCATTCTATCAATGAAAGAAGTGTAACATAAATCGGTTGAATTTATATTCAACAACAAAAGGAAACAAACTTTTAGATAATAGCTTGATTCAATGGTTTGTCATTTTTACATAAAAACAACAAAAATATTGTAATCACGTGATAATTGATAAGGTGATCTTATAATAGATTAAATATAAATTTGCGGAAAATAATATATTACTTTGAATTATATTAGGTGTTTAATTGTATATGGTTTGAATGGTGTGTGTGGTAAAACAAATAGTACATTTTGTGTATGAATTGAAGTCTTACTGCTGTTGCAAACATCGACAAATAGTTTATTATGGTGATTATAATATGCAACAAGAGTTTATTATGATTTTTGCGTTTGTAATAATGCTAAACCATGATAAGAAATCGACCAATCATCATTACTATTACATATTTAAAAAATATACCAAACCATAACTTAAATGGATGTTTAATTGAAATAAGCAAGTTGCCGAACAACAGCTTAAATAAAAATAAAAATAAAAATAAAAATCTAATAAAATCTAACAAATCTAAATGGTTAGGCTCCTTGATGTTTATAAACATCACATTGTTCAAAACATATTGAATATTCAAAGTTATTAGCAATATAACAATAATTTGCAAAAATATTGTCATTAAAATACGTATGAAATAAAAGATTAAATATTTCTGTACTCTCATTCAAAATTGAATGGTACGTCCTATCAAAATCCTTTGGATGCTCATCTGCAAATTCTAATACTCTCACATATTATTTTTTCTAAAAATTTCCAAGTCTTATTCTTCTCTGAATTCCACGTTCAGACAAATCTTTGTACATAAATTTTTAAACATTTGTTTACAAATTGTTTCAGCAACATCCAATAAACACAGACGCGCAACGTGCGGGCTTTCCACCTAGTTAATGTATAATCCTGGAACAAAAAAAGATTGATGTACTCATTCACAGAAATTTAGGAGAAGAATTGTATCTATTATGACACATCATATCTTGCTATAGAGAATAAAGCTAGAAAAGTAATCCGTCTGGCCCGACCCGCTGCGAGTTACGACTTTTGGTGGGTCGGTCCTAACCCGTCCGCCAACAAAGGCAGGCTGGATTAGGCCCGCCATTTTTGGGGAAATGGCTAGCCCAACCCGGGCTGCCAACCCTAACCCATCGAGTTAGGCTGTGGGTCAGGCCGGGTTAACCCTCTTTTTTTATTTTTGATTTGATTTTGTTTTATTTATTTAACTTTTCAAATAAATAATTAACAATTTATAAATGAATAAATTATAAATGTAATTGTTTTTAGTTAGCTTTTCAAATATCAATATTCAATTAAATTAATTTTTTTTTGGTTAACATTTCAAATATTAATTCAATTTTAATATAATAAAATTGTAATATAAGAAAAATTAGACTTATTCATTTATCAAAAAATAAAATAAGAAATTATAACAATTATTGCCTCGTTAAAAACCTCACCAAGAAAAACCCAATGGGAGAAAAACTTGGTAAAGAAAAAACGAGTGTAATAATTGTCAATTAATTTACAAATTACATTTTACAAAACAACTAATTTGGGAGTGGTTTACTAGGACCTCCCTCATATGTATCATCTATATTACAAAATTGAAATGATTATATTAAAGTATCGTCGACAATCTCATATTAATCTTGATAGCGCGACCGTTCTCAATCCCGAAGACGTGAGGACTTTAATCATTTTTGGAGAAAGTTTACTCCTCATTTCATTTAAAATTCTTCCACTTGTACTAAATGTTTGTTCAGATGAGACGGTTGAGACAGGAATAGCGAAAACATCCAAGGCAAGTCTTGATAATATCGAAAAAATACATTTTCTGGCTTTCTAATATTCCAAGACATCAAAGTTAGCTCTTTGTTGTAGATCTGCTGGTAACATTTTGGAGGTTGCCAAATACCGTTGAAGTTCATTACTCTGCGACTGTATGGAGGACAGTATATTAGTTGTTGTTGTTAGTGGTGGTGCTTCTGAAGAGGAGGCTGTGCTTCAGATTCGGGTCCTCTTCGGACTATTCAGTGCACTCCAAGAGTAGAAGTCTTCATTTGTTTCTTCTTATGCAGCTTCCCTGGATATTTTGCCTCTTTGCAGGTTCTCATACCTGTTTTCATATTGGAAATATACTTCTACAAGACAATTTTTTACCTCTCCTATTTGATTGGCATATACTTCGGTTTGTAAATTTTCACTTAAATTGTCAAAACCATTTTCTAAACCTGCTAATTTAATCATAGGATCAAATGTAACACCTAAACAATAAAGAAAAGGAATGGATTCCCAATATTAAAATTTTTTTTTTCCATTGCCTTTATTGGTTCATTTAAAATTTCATTGTTTTTGTTTTTTGTAAATAACTCTGAAATTTTTATAATTGTATGTATTACCAATGGACTAGTAAGATAATACACATCAGAAAGTTGTAAAGTGGATTGGTAAAAAATTTTAAGAAAAAAATGAAACATTTTAACTATATGCCAATAATTTTCTACCAAATAATGCGGACCTCTATTATTTGCTATAAAATAACTAATTAAATTAGCATAAGGTGAACATGAATCAAACATTAAATAAGTATTATTCTATTTAACAGGCATGTCTAATACAAAAGTTCAAGGAGACATATTTGATTTTATACAAACATCTTGAAATTCAGCATTTCTTTTATTACTACCAGTAATCCAAGCTAAACAATCCATAATTCTATTAATATTTTCTTTAATTGTTTTCATACCACTTTTTACAATTAAATTAATAATGTGACATGCACAACGTTGGTGAAAAAATTTCAAATTGTTATAAAAATGATAATTACTTTGAAAAAAATCTACAGCTGTAGTATTAACACTTGCATTATCTAAAGTTAAACTTACCACTTTATTAATAATATCATAATCTTCTAAAACTTTAACAATTTTATTATAAATTTGTTGACCATTATAATCCACATTCATTAATCTAAATCCTAATAAAAAATTATTTAATTTACATTCGTTATCAAAATAATGACTAGTCACACATATATAATCTTGTTTAACTCTATGACTGTAAATATCGGCAGTTAGAGCCACATTAACATGACAACTATATATTTTATTTTTTAATTCTACTTCCATTTTCTTAAACAATTTTATTAAATCATTTCTAGTTGCAGTTTTAGAATAACTTTTAAATCCTAGAAAAAATAAAATTTTAATAAATCTTTCAAAATATTTATCTTCAGCCATATTAATAGGTTGATCAGTTGCAGTAATATATAAAGCTAATTGTTCCCTATATACATCATAATTATAATGCCAAGTAGTACCCATATTAGTTATTTGAGTTTAATTGGTTTCTCTATTTCCATTTTGAGCAATATGTTTATTAGCATGTATTTTTAAAGTACTAGTACCATTACCTGAATCAGCTTTATAAACATTTCCACAATACTTGCATCTTGCTTTCTTCACTTGAACTCCATTTTCTGTCTCGTAAAACTTTTCAAAATGCATCCAAACGTCTGATGTGTGTCTGTCGTCACTTTCGACAGCAGTTGATGAATCCACTTTGGCTTTAGATGAAGTTGGACGAGGACGATGATTACGAAGATGACTTTTAGAACCACCGGGAGCTGTAGGTGTAACAACATGGGGAGAAATCGGGGGCATATTTTGAGGTGTATCAGATTCTGAGACTAAGAAAGCAGGACTATTTGAATCTCCTCCAGCATTCATGTTAGTAAATTCAGCAGCACTAGGATTAGGATAGTAGTTTCCTTCCTCATTGAAATTGATGGAAGAGAAATATCTATCCATTGTAGTTAAAAAAAAAATTGATGTAGAAGAAATAAAAAATTAAAAAAGGAGAATTGGAATATTGAAAATTGGAAATATAAATTGAAAATTGCAAAAACTAATAAAAATTAAAATAAGAGCAACTTGATAACAAAGAGATTAAGACTTAAGAGAATGATTGAGAGATTTCAATAAAGATTAGAGATTAGAGAGAATGAGAGAATTTGAGTTGTGAGAAAATATGAGAGTTTAGGGACAATTTATAGAAAAAATTGGAAAAAGAAAATGACGAAAAAAACCTCTCCAACTGCTATAAAATGACTATATTTCAAGAGTAAAATGGGAATTAAAAAAAAAATTAATTTTAGTTTTTTTTTTAATTTTTTTGGGCCAACCCGAGGGTCAACCCAACGGGTTGGCGGTCCTTTCTCAAAAAGGACAAAACAGCAAACTGTGGATCGATGCTGACCCGCCCAGGGGTTGCATGCGGGTCGGGTTCAACTTGGGTTGAATCCTCTTAAATTCGGGTTGGGTTAGGGTTGACCCGTCTAACCCGGCCCATTTGTTCCACCATTAATAGAGAATGCAAAGAAGTTGTAGCCTTAAAAACTCAATATTTCACTTGCTTTCTAGTATCGGACCTCATCTTTTTCTTGATTCATAAAATGGAATTGCCCCTGTTTTCTGTTAAACTATTCATGTCATAACTGCATTCGACCACCTCTACAGTTTTACTGCCAGCCAGAGTTGATTGAGCATAATCTGGAGAAGTTCTAACGGGGAATTGTCAATTAACCATATACATAAACCATAGAAATATACTCCAAACGAATATAGAAAAAAGTGCATATTACCCTATCATTCAAGTGAAATATGTCAATTAAGGAAGCAAAATGACAAGAAAACAACCAATTTCTAAAAGAGACGAGGATTTGCATAATTAGAACAAATTTGTAAGGGGTTTTCAGTTCAAACAGTCATCAGCGTACTAAAGTGCCAACTGTGGCTCAAGGGGAATTCAATCTTACATTCTCCAAAACAATAGGGTTATCATATAAGGATTCTAATAAAATTACATACAAAAGATATGAGATCTAAGGAATTGAAGCAGCCCCCAACAAATACGAGAAAAGCCATAAAAGAAAGTCCAAGTCTAAAATAATTCGAAGATAAAAGCAATCCCAGATGCTCTAGGAAACGTATACACAGAAAGTTCATAAACCAGAGAACCATGTCACATAGCTTCACTAAATTAAGCCAGTGAAACCATAAACCATATCCACTTTCAATCAAAGATACCAAGCATTTATGTGAATTGCTCTACCCAAACAATCAAAAAACATTTCATTAAATCTTAAAAGTTTATCGACACCCTGAAACAAGTCAAGCATTAGCAGAATACACAAACATATCACCCAAAAAAAAAAGTACAAAAGCAATTATAAACACTGCAGAACACCCAGCCTTCATCCAGCACAAAAATAGTCAAAACCTACTGGACCCACATCAGAAAATGAGCTAATGAAGACATAAATTAAAGTTGGCTAAGCAAAAAAGCAAGAAGAAAGATCATAAACAGGAGATATTTTTCACAAGCATTCTTTTGGCAAGTATATCAAAAGTAATGGTGTAGAGCCTCCAATGCCTCCAATTACAACCTTGGAAAGAATACTATAAGGAGAAAGAAGGTTTAAGTCTTACAGAGTATCTCTATTGACCAACTAAGATGCTGTGCACTGCAGACCTGGGAACAGACAAAGCTAGAAAAAAAAGCTCACAAAGATGGTGATATTCATCAATAACACAGTTTGTTACTCCTAACACATAGTCCATAGAACACCAAACTTACCAAATTACCAAAATTGGTTTCATTCGAATTCAAGCTTCTTGCCTCAGATGACTTCCTGGTCAGTACTTGCATGTAATGAGACTTCAGTAACACAAGTGAAACATGTGAAGTTCATTCCAATATTATCTAACAGTCTCTATCCAGGAAATGTTATTGCTTCCATGATTCCAAACTCATTTGCACATTTATCTGGAATATATTTTTTTTTTTCTTCAACATACTGGTCAAGATAACTTGATCTAGACCGCAGCAAACAACAATAATATTTGGAAGCAATGGTAATGGCCATTTCAGGAGGTGAATTTTCTAAAACTATAACTCACTCTTTCTTTGTTGGACATGACAGTGTTAATTCGTTATTAAAATTTTATAAAGGGATTCTCACCATTTTTAATTCAATCTTTTAGGAATTTGATTTAACTTCCAGACAACCTCTTTTTTCTTTTCCATAAATAGCCTATAGTACAATGTTCAAACTTTTCTTTACTTTCTAATAATCAAGGAGGAAGTTTTGCATATTATAACCCATTAATGAGATAAGTATGAAGCAAAACTGTATATTACTCTTAGTAAAAAAAAAAAAAAAAAAAAAACTAAAAGAAACATTGTATGTGACACTTAAGTTAAGCATACCCATATGATAAGCAGCCGGTTCGGTTGGGAACCTAAAGTCATATTAGTTAGATGTAAACTGTTGGGATAAGGTCTGAAAAGTTATAAGCCTGAATTGATGAACCCAAAGAACTATTTGAAAGTTTAGGATTATTAATTTCAGATAGCATATGAACTTTATTGTTTCCAGATAAAACAAATGAAGAGACTAAATTTCAAAAAGTATCATACCCTTTCAAAGAGTTTTAAAATTGAAAAGAAAATTACAATTGACAAAAAATGTGTATAAGAAAATCCGAACTTTAATCACCAGATATCACCACATGAACATTTACCATCTCGGAAGTGGTGGAATCTCATGTTATCTCTCACAATAATCTCCCTCCCTGTGACTTGAGATGCACCACACATAAATATGTGGCAATCTTTGCATATTCTCAAGTTCTTCATAAATCTCATGATGCAGCCAGCACTTGTTGTGAGCACTCCAAATGCCAGTGCCAAATTCTCACTGTGATTCATTAATATACGCTTCTTCTCCTCATCAGCCACATCATAAGGGACAGAACTGAGTTTTGGCTGGTATCCATGAGCCTTTAATCTGTTCAAAATTTCCTCCAACACCTGCTTAATCTCACTAGATCTTGAATGCATCAAGTCACCGGCAAGGAACTCATGAATTACTCCTTTGTTTCCTTCTACCCAACTAAATCCAGGATTCTTTATAAGACCCTTCTTCTTCATCAGTTTCCTTACCCTTGAAACATCATCCCACCTTCTTGCTGATGCATATATATTAGAGAGTAAGATGTAGTTTCCAATAGCATCAGGTCCAAGCTCAAATAGATGGCATGCAGCAATCCCAGCAATGTCCAGATTCCCATGAATGTTACATGCTCCAAGAAAAGCTCCCTACACCCCTCCATGGGGCTCCACTGGCATTGTTTGGGCCAGCTCAAGTGCTTCCTCCAAGCGCCCTGCTCGACCTAAAAGATCAACCATGCAAACATAGTGATCTGCAGATGGAGCAACACCATAGCATTTCTCCATACTAGCAAATAGCTGCCGGCCTTGTTCTACCAACCCCAAATGGCTACAGGCTCTAAGCACTCCTATAAATGTAATTCTATTAGGCTTAGTCTCTGTTTGTAACATCTCATGAAATAACTGCAGTGCTGCATGAGCCTGACCATGCGTTGCTAACCCAACTATCATTGAACTATAAGTAAACACATTCCTCTCCTTCATCTCCTCGAAAACCCTATATGCATCCCCTACACGCCCGCATTTTGAGTACATCTCAATAAAAGCTGATCCCACAACAACATTATTTGTAAGCCCAAATCCTGATCTCTCAGCTACATCACAAATCCAATCAGCATACTTGATTGCACCCAGTTTAGCACATGCTAAAATAACACCAACCAAAGTAACTTCATCTGTTTCAACACCTGAATTTTGCATTCTCTCAAAATATTCTATTGCTTCTCTAGGCTTAGCATTCTGTGTATAACCAGTGACCATCGCAGTCCAGGCCACCATATCCTTTAAAGGCAACCCATCAAACAATACACTAGCAGATTTCATATCCCCACTCTTGGCATATGCAACAATCAACTCAGTCCAAGAAATCACGTCTTTCACAGGCATTTCATCAAACACCTTATGCCCACAATCTAAACACCCGCATTTTACATACATATCAATCAAGATATTACCAACATATATATCAGACACAAAACCACCAACCAAAATCGTCTGAGCATGCAACTGCCTACCCAAATTCACATCAAGAATCTCAATACAGGCCTTAAAAAGTGCAGAAAACGTAAAAGAAACCGGGTCAATACCTTCTCTCCTCATAGAACCATACAACGTAATTGAATCCTTCAAGCGTCCTTGTAAAGAATACCCACGAATGAGAGCAGTCCAAAGAAAAGGGTTTCTATATTTCACCTGCTCAAAAATGAGACGAGGATAGGAATCCATGGGAATATTAATTTTAGTGAGCATGCGGATTAGTTTCGTGAGCACATAACCACATTGGTCGAGGCCATTTTGAAGAATTTGAGCATGTACTTGTTTAATTTGTAGGAGATTATAACAACCATCAAGTGTGGAACTTAATTGGTTTTCCAAGATTTTCTTTTCACGTGGATGTTCAGAGTAGGAAATGAGAGCTTTATCTGTTCTTATTTGTTGAATAAATTCTCTAGGGATATAACATCGGGAACTCCCTGTAGAGAATTTGCGTATGAGAGCTGCCATTACAGAAAGAGGAAATTTAACTGATATGCCTTCCCAAGTTTCGAATTGAGAATATAACCTTAGTATAATTAAAGCAGCAAAAAGGGTTAGGGTGAAAAGATTTAAACGTTTGTGGGTTAAAGTAATATACAGAAGTTGGTTTATAATTTGAAAGGCAAAATACATTCATCTCAGGAAACGTTTGGTTTAGGGAATATTGAAATACTGGGAATGTTGAATTACTGAAAAGTTAGATTACTTTGAAGATTACTCAGAATCTTTAGAAAAATATGTTTGGTTAATTGGTGGGTATGTTATATTAATATGTTTGGTTGAGAGGAATAAATTAGTGGGTATATTATTTAAATTACTGAATTGTCCTCTAATTAAATACTATTATTATATTATTTTTTAATATTGATTATTATTTGGACTATTATAACCCCCCTACATTTAAAAACTTAGCAAAAACAACCCCATAATAAAAGTTTGGAAAATCAACAAAGCACCCCTACCAACCCAGCCACTGTCGGCCGCCTTCAACCTAACCCCGCACGGAAGGCAGGAAATGGCCTCCATGCGCTGTATGGCCATTGGCCAGACATGACAGATCTGGCTGTCAATGACCAGATCGTTGGTTGTTGACTGCCAGATCGGGCACGATCCGACCATTTTCGGCCAGATATCTGGTCGAAAATGGCCATATCGGCGCATGATGGCCATTTTCGGCCTTCCGTGCGCTGTTCCGACGGCGACAAGTGGGTGGGGGTGATGGCTTGGGTGGGGTGTGATTTGTTTTGAATTCAAGGGTAATTTTGTCCAAAAAGTTAATTAATTCGGGTGAAATAGTAAAAGCTATATTCATGTAAATAAATTTAAAAATAAGAGTATCATTGTCCTAAAATTTTATTAATAAGGGATAGAATTGTAACAAAGAAAGATAACTCTGGTAATCGTAGAATACCTAAGAAAATGGAAGTAATCAGATTATCTCCAATATTACTAATAGTAACCACTATTGTTATTTGAAGATTACTGGTATCTTACATTACTTGACAACCAAACATGGTAATCAAGTAATATAAGATGACTTAACCCCAGTAATCCCACATAACCCCCAACCAAACGCCCCTTCAATTTCTCTTTCTCAAAACACGATTCAAACACCTTCCTCTCTCACATTTTTTCTTCTAGTTTTCTGCCATTTCTCAATTTCTTTGCTCTTTGCATTTTTGCCATTCTCGATTAAGTTACAATGGCTGAGATGCTCAAAGAAACCGAAAAAAACCCATCCACTCCCCAAATTATAGGGACCACTGGTTCTGCCAAAAATGGAGAAGAAAAGGTTGCGGTGGAGCAACTTTCGATGACTGAAGTTGCTCCACCGGTAGAGGACACCTCACTAGTAGAGGAGATGACGCTGACAAAAGACATCTTGGCGGCAGAAGAAGGGATGACAAGATTCGAAATTGAAAATGAAGAGGAGGATGCCAATGCAAATTCTAGCGATGAGGTGGAAGAAGAGGAAGAACAGGTAATGATCTATATATTTTATGAAATTATTGGTTGTTGTGCCAATTTAGGGATATTTGGTTGGTGGTTATTGTTAAGGTCATTGCTGCATTTTGTCGAGCAATTGGAGAGCATGGGAGAAGTGGGCGTTTTAGGCTTCCAGAGGACCGGGGAAGCAAAGGGAGGCCTTAGGGAGGCTGTTTATGGCGAGTTGGATGGCTTTTATTGGCAAAGAGAGCGGAATAGGGGGGTTGGGGGCTTGCCCTGCATATTACAGGGCTGTCCACGTGCAACCAGCCCTGCAAGGCTTGCCCTACATCATCTCTCTTGTACATCATGCCAGCAAGAAACAAGAATCTGTGAAGCAAACAAGAGTACATTTTCTTCCTCTTTATTTTAGTCATTTGTTAACATTTTTGGTTGATTGTGCAAGGCCATTTTAGAAGTACATAATTCAATTTTCCAAGGTAGATTATTGCATGTAATGCAAACAAGAAACAAGAACCTGACAAGCAACAAGAGTTAGTTGCATACTCCTTCCAAGCCTCATGGTTCATGTCTTTTTTATCTATTATGATGAGGAATTTGACATTGCTTTTTCTGCAGTTGGCGATTTGTCTATTAATGGTTCAAAAACTTTAAAGCAACAAAGGGAGGAAGAAAGGAAGGCATCTAAAACTAGTGGAGATACAAAAGCATGGAATAGATTTAGTTAGAAAGGGTTGGCAAGATCCATTGAATCTTTAGAGTAGGGACTGAAAGTTTATTTAGTTGAGACAAAATGCATGTTTTAGTAGGTTGTTATTTTGGGAACTACCAGAACTGCTAGAACTATCATTTTCCAGATTTCTTTATTGTATTTGCTTCTTGTTAATCAATATAATTTTCTCAGTTTTTCTCTTAATTGATTGTTTGGTGAGTGAGGATCTTGGTTGACAAATTTTTAGGCTGTTGTTTTCTCTTAATTTGTTGAACACTTATTAGTGAATCAGAAAACAATTTTAATGGTTTTGATGAGTACTTTATGAGATTATCAAATTAGCCTTGGTCGTTTAAGCGATAAAGGCTATCGCCTAAGCAATCAAGGCTTATCTATATTGGATCGCTTAAACGAGAGTTGACATCACTTATGCGATCGTGTACTTAAGGATTATATAGACACAAATTAGCCTTGGTTGCTTAAGCAATCAAGGCTTATATATACTGAATCGCTTAAGCGAGAGTTACATCGCTTAAGTGATCGTATACTTGAGGATTATTTAGACACAAATTAGCCTTGCTTACTTAAGCGATGTGGGATATCGCTTAAGCGATTAAGGCTTATCTATGTTCGATCACTTAAGCAAGAGTTGACATCGCTTAAGCGATCGTGTACTTAAGGATTATTTAGACACAAATTAGCCTTGGTCACTTAAGTAATGTGAGCTATTGCTTAAGTGATTAAGGTTTATAAATACTAGATCACTTAAGTGATCAAGATTTATATATACTAGATCGCTTAAGCGAGAGTTGCATCACTTAGATGATCATGTACTTGAGGAATACTGACACAAATTAGCCTTGGTTGCTTAAGCAATGTGGGCTATCGCTTAAGCGATCAAGGCTTATCTATGTTGGATCGCTTAAGCGAGAGCTAACATCGCTTAAGTGATCGTGTACTTGAGGATTATTTAGACACAAATTATTCTTGGCCGCTTAAGTGATGTGGGCTATCGCTTAAGCGATCAAGGCTTATATATGCTGGATCGCTTAAGCGATCGTGTACTTAAGGATTATTTAGACACAAATTAGCCTTGGTCGCTTAAGCGATGTGAGCTATCGTTGAAGCGATCAAGACTTATCTATGTTGGATCGTTTAAGCGAGAGCTGATATTGCTTAAGCGATCGTGTACTTGATGATTATTTAGACACAAATTAGCCTTGGTTGCTTAAGCGATGTGGGGTATCGCTTAAGTGATCAAAGCTTATCTATGTTGGATAGTTTAAGCGAGATCTGACATCCCTTAAGTGATTGTGTACTTGAGGATTATTTAGACACAAATTAGCCTTGGTCGTTTAAGCGATGTGGGCTATCGCTTAAGCGACCAAGGCTTATATACGCTGGATCACTTAAGCGAGAGCCGCATCACTTAAGCAAGAGCTGCATCACTTAAGCGATCATGTACTTGAGGGTTATTTAGACACAAATTAGGCTGGTCGCTTAAGCGATATGGACTATTGCTTAAGCGATCAAGGCTTATATATACTAGTTTGCTTAAATGAGAGATGCATCGCTTAAGCAATCTTGTTTTTTATATGGATTATTTGACAACCCCATATTAAGTAACGTTAATGTTAACTTGGGACGTTCACAACATCACAAGATTCGGGAGAAAAGAAGCAAATTAGCCTTGATTGCTTAAGCGACGTCGGTTATTAACACATATTAAGGCCATCTTTGGAGGATTATTTGACAACCTAATTCCATCAACGCATATTAAGGCCATTTAAGAAGACTATTACTGTTGATTTAAACCTTGGACGTTCACAACATCAAAATATAACAGCTACGATATGTGACTAACAACCCTATGATACATGGAGAAATGTCATAGCACACTAGTGTGACATGTTAGTAGAAACGTACCCCATTTCACAAATATGTATTTGAGAAGGATATAATTTCTCACTCATTCCACATTACGGAATATAATTTCTCACTTAAACATTCACAATATCAAAAGATTGAGGAGAAAAGAAGCAAATTGGCCTTGGTCACTTAAGCGACAGCGATAGCGATCACGACTTATCTATATTGGATCGCTTAAGCGAGATTGTGTATTTGAGAAGAATTATTTTAAGTACAAAAGCAAATTATCATTGATTGCTTAAGCGATGTTAGCTCTCGCTTTCACTCAAGCGATCCTATACAGATAAGTAGTGATCGCTTAAGCGATAGCCTACGTTGCTTAAGCGACCAAAGCCAATTTTCTTTGTATTTGACTATTCCTTCTCAAATTCAAGATCACTTAAGCGATGTCAGTTCTCACTTAAGCGATGTCAGTTCTCACTTAAGCGATCCTGTACAAATAAGTCGTGATCGCTTAAGCGATAGCCGACGTCGCTTAAGCAACCAAAGCCAATTTTCTTCGTACTTGACTATTCCTTCTCAAATTCAAAATCGCCTAAGCGATCATATATAGATAAGCTGTGGTTGCTTAAACGATAGTCAACGTCGCTTAAGCGACTAAGGCTAATTTTATTTGTACTTGACATTTCCTTCTCAAATTCAAGAAAATTAGCTTAACTGATGTCATCGCTTGCTTAAGCGATCCTATATTGATAACATCTCAACATTGAATGAATTTATATGCACAATAACATCTCAATATTGAATTAATTTAGTAGCACAATAACAACTCAATATTGAATGAATTTATATGCACAATAACATCTCAATATTGAATTAATTTAGTAGCACAATAACAACTCAATATTGAATGAATTTAGTAGCACAATAACAACTCAATATTGAATGAATTTAATAGCAC